CCCAAAACCCCAAAACCCCAAAACCCCAAAACCCCAAAACCCCAAAACCCCAAAACCCCTATTTTAGTCCAAATAATTGATGAATTCTTAAATACAAGTAAAGCTCATCTACTAGAGCTCTAGTGCAGTCTTATCAATGGAGAGCTTTTGAGGCAATGCCTAAATTCAGCTTAAAAGCTGTATAAAATGCAAACCTTACTGAAATATTAGTTGCGCTTACTTATCTAAATTTAGTGTAGCCTTTGACTATCTTTTGATGCAAAGAATTGAGCTTCCTTGTGTACTTATTCTTTAGCCTGTTTTCTTGGTCCTAGTCAAGATTGTAAAAGGACTTACCACTGATCCTGTTGTCTGGCTTAGACTTTTTAGAGTATTTCAGATCGAACTTTCCTTATCTCTTTTGCCAAGATCCTACAAATTCAAACAATAACTTACAAGTGAATTTTTGAATAACTTTTTGAATCTCTTTTTCGGACGAAGTGTCTGTTTTTCTTGAAATTGTTCTGAAATATACTCAATATTAGGTTTGAGAAGTATAGGCTGAGAGAACTTGAGTATATCTTCCTTTTTGATAGAATCCTTATTTAGAGTTTATCTAAAGTTTACTCCAAACAGTACTGTTTTTATCAAATTTACCTAGACAGGTCAGTAAAGAACTTACGTATCTGTTAACATTTAGCTGGTTGATGGGATCCTCTGAGCTTTGTACTATGCAATTAGTTATGGACTGCAATTTTAGTTTTATAAAAGGGAATTTAGATGAACAAAATATATGGAGCTCGATGAAAGATAAATTCATAAATCAAACTTGTTATTGAAGTAATATGCTTTAGGAATTTTATCCAGCCATTATATTCTGGTTAATATCTGAAGCCTTTCAAAGAGAAAACAAGTTTTTGTCAGAATTTGACTAAGATGCTCAATATTTACTCTTTTCATGATTTGAGTCTTCTGGGAACTTAAAGTAGGATGGCCTTTAGTATTAAGAAAGAGCACAGTACTTTCTCTTCTTTAGTTCATCAATATCATTATTAAACTCCAACTCATTGGTATTTTCTTCCATGCTTCCATTTTCTAAAGCTTGAAACAAAATGTACCTATTGACCCAAGAGAATTCATTATTTTGTGAAGATTTGATTGAGTATGTTCTCCATTTTTGATACTACTACAGGAGCATTTTGCTCTTGGGACCTTCTTTCGGCTACTGATTTTCCTATTGTCTCCTAAATATTTGGTAAAATCTTTCTTAAATTTCATTGCCAGAGTTAAAATAATTTGAATTTTGGTTAAAATTAGAATAAGTAGATTAATTAATTCAACCAATCATTCTTTCTTAGTGAGCCGAAAATTTCTTGAGAAATAAATTAGTCTTACCTAGAAGAGAGAGTCTGGATGATTGAGCCAATGATGATTTCTTTTTCCTAAAAATAATCTCTTCAGCCATTTGGCCAGTCTCCATAACTTCATATTGAATAAGGTCCTGGCGCTTTTTAATACTGCTATATTAAAGTAAAATCTTTAATTTACCTGAAATTTTTATTTTCTGTGAATATAACTGGCTTAATTTTGAGCCTAACCCCAGTTGGGTCAAATCTATCCAGATGTTTCTCATCAACTTCAGTCTTATCCAAACCGATGGATTGTTTTAACGATTCGTTATGAAGGTAATTCAGAGGGATTTCTGCATTTTTAACGAATCTAAAAGTTTATACCTCACAAAAATACCCTCTCCAGGCTTTAACTTTTCAGTTTTGATGAATAATTCTGTTCTTGGGTTCATCTAAACATCTGAGAACCTCCCACACTACTTATTTCATAGCATCCTTGTTCAAAATTCGGTTGGTCACCACGGAGAATCTTGTCTACAATTTCTTTGATCGTAGATTTAGCAACTGCAAATCTTGATTTATTTGAAAATTTTTGGGTTCAGGTCCACTAGAAAGATTCATTAAATTTCTTTAAATTGAATATTTCTATTCATACCTTTAGGTTCAACCTTCTTATTGCATGAAGAGACTGATCTACAGGCCATCTTCTGGGAAGAGAAGGAGGTCTTATTGACTCTGAAATTTTTGTAGGTCAATTTTGGTCGTTTCGTGTTCAAAGAGTCGCAATCGCCCAAGACATAGGTTCCTGAATCCTTACAAGTTACTCTCGTGCTTTGATTATAAGAATTTCTTGGTGAACATTTGGTAAATTGACTGGGTCTTTTCACCCATGCATTTGATAGTTGTGAGAAAGTTGATTTGTTCGCTTTATCTCCATCTAATCTAAAATCTGACTCTTTCCTAAGCATCATGAGTGTTGTTCCTTACCTTCTTTTTAGTAAATTTTTCCTTGGAGCGTTCTTTGGGGTCAGTGAGATCAGATATTTATCTTTCCTACAGGATTAGGAAGAGAATCTACTCAAATATTTGTCCTTTGTATTCTTTGTTATAATTTGTGCTTTGCAAGCATCTGTTGTTTACTCTCGCAAGGCGATGCATCTCCTAAATTATTGCAATCTAAGGCGTCAACCGTTTGAGGCCCAGTAATGAAAATTGAAAAACTATCATAACCACCTTGCATAGCAACATAACACCTCAGAGAAACACAAAAAAGAGAGAACACAAACCCTAAAACAAACTGCATTACCCCTACCTCACTCCCACTATACTTCCTATACATTCTCATGTTCAATTATTTAATAACAATAAGGGGTTTTGGGGTTTTGGGGTTTTGGGGTTTTGGGGTTTTGGGG